TTGTTGAAAATATAATCTTACGGATTGGTCGCCATCATTGGGCACGTCTTCGTCGGCCTCATAGCTGTCCCAACTCGCGTACAGATTAAACATATTTACGCACTTATATTGTGTGCAACTATTTATAACTATTTATAAATGCTTTATATAACGGAATAAATGTTTAAAAAAGAAAATGCAAAATAAACTAAAATTGATATAAAAACTGAGGTAAAAGTGGTTCACTTCTGTAGACTTAAAGAGACGAAAGGGTTGTGAGACGAGAGAGAGTTTGAATGCACTTAAACACTGCACTAAACCTAAGATGTGTTGTGACCTAAAGCTAATTCAGTGCTGCGACGCCTCTCATCAAAAGGGATGACCACTACATATGGATGTATACCTGAGATGATAACCCGATAAACACACTGTAAAGTCCACGTCTTACTGACTGGTTACAAAAGTTCAAACACGAATAGAAACAGGAATTCCATAATTCTGATGTTAGCTCAATTTCGGTCAGAAAAGATATGGATCAATGCATTAGTCATTTATAGGAGTTATGAGTTATTTGCGAGAAATAAGCGCTTTTCAGGCACTCATCACATCATTCACTAGTATTCCGTGAAATTGAAAGCACGGAAAGCTTTCACAAACTTTTACTTTATTTCAATACAACTTTGACTTCATTTATTTGTTTTTCAAATTATGCTCTAATTTCCAAACATTCGACATTTGACCCAATTTTGACCTCAAATATAATTCATTGCCTCAATTAAAATGCTCTCAACTTTATTGCTGTTACTAAATATAGGTTTATAGGAATTTTTTGTTGTTAATAAAAGGATATTACTTTAACACACTTTATCAAGTTTAAATGCATCAAACAAATTATTGAATATTCAATAATCAAATCAGCAGAATATTATTTGTATAGATATTTATATAATATTAAATATAAATTATTATTTAATATGCTTAAACGAAATTTTTTTGAATTAACTATCTACTTTTGTAATTTAGTCATTAAAATGTTCAAAATATCACGAATATTCAAAACCTATAAATTATTAAATGTTGAATATATAAGCATTGATTAATATACTGTATATATACAGTAATATAAGTCTAATGTTTGTGCATTATGATAATTGGAAAGTTCTGAAAAATGACAATCACAAGGGAATGCCCTTCATGGATTCTACAGTAACTATAATCTACTGTATGATAAACATTACGTTTAGTGTATTAGTTAAAATTAAGATATTAAAACTTTACTATAAATTATTTGACATTAACTTGTTAAATGAAACAAACTTTGTAAGTTAGTCTATCAATGTCATTGTAATAAATAATCATATACAGAATTACAGTAATAATAATAGTCTACTATTCAAAACTCCTAAAATGCTCAAATTCTTACAGTGCACCCAAAAGTATGTCCCATTGGACTCCCAACCCCTAACTGAGTACAGTGTTTGTGAAGAGTGCGTGCATTGAAAGCATGCGACTGTATGTGAGGTTTGAAAACAAGGTCTGACTCGCAGTGTGTTTGTTGTGCACCGAAAGGTCGTGTCTTTGGCACCACTGACACACTGGTCACTGCTTTGGTGATGACATCATGACATCCGACACTACAGATGATGGTGTCTATCACGACGAGGTGGAGATCGAGGACTTCTCGTACGACGACGAGACGGAGACATTCAGCTATCCCTGTCCTTGTGGTGACACTTTCACTATCACTAAAGTAAGACACCATTGACTCACTCATGAGGACAACTCATTGATTGATTGGTTTGAATGACAGGAGGATCTGGAGAACGGCGAAGACGTTGCCCGATGTCCGTCGTGTTCACTGATAGTTCGGGTCATCTATAACTTGGATGACATCCCAGCCCTGTGTGCCGACCGCCACAAACAGAGCAAAGCATCCAATATTCTCGTCACTAATTGATTCAATCATATTTGCAAAGTTAATAACATAAAATGATAAACAGACAATTAATTTATTTAATTTGTCATAAACTTTACTTAACTATTTATTAATTGCAAAATAAAATGTTAATTAAACTAGTAATTATGTCATAAATTGTCTATAAATGATATAATTACAAATATTATATAAAATACAAATAAAGTGTAATATAGTTGTGAATAAAATGATAAACAAATGAAACGAATTGATGTAAAGTTTATGTAAACAGTTGTGATGTTTTGAGTGGTGAGACATCAACACCAAAGAGTTTCAGTGGTAGTGAACATACCGTAGCATTGGTTGAGATTACCATCAATTGTCTCAAATCGCATTCATATGATAAGTGTATTGAATACTCAAAGCGATTGGTATCGAGTATTTGCATTGAAAGGTGAGCGCAAGTGATAAATGATATTTAAATTATTAAAACAAACCAATAATTGAATGGAAATGATATCGAAATCGGCATCAATTGAGTTCGAGATCGAAATATTCAATCAGTCAATGAGTAACTAATAGTTTCCATTAAATTATAGCCAATAACTGGTATTAAAAATCATGCATTTATTGGATCTAAAAGTCAATGAATATGTAAACATTAAATACAAATCAATGAATTGAAAAAAAAGTGTAAAAATAATAAATAAATAAATAAATAATAACAAAAGTGGTCACCATTTGCCGCGTTTGGACCAATCCTTAGGAGTCCAGTGAAGACATTTGGAATCGATCCGCACCTTTCGCTTCTGAAAAGCCCTGTCGTAGGCGTTGAGCACCTCTTTGGTGATGGTTATGATGTACTGTCCCTTATAGTAGTTGATTAGATTGAGGTACTGGAGGGTCGAGATGACGTCCTCCTTCTTGATGGACGTCACTTCAGACAACTCGTTGATTGTCATCACAGGCTTCTCGTTGGGTTCGACGGCTTTCAAGTTGACTAATATGTCTAAAATGGTTTCCGACCAATAGCTCCGGTATGAGAGAAGTCCCAAATCACTCAATGGCTTCTCAGGACTTCCTGTTTTGCCTTCAAATTTGGACAATTCGTAACTGAACTCAATTAAGAGCTTTCCGTAGCCTTTCCTCTGATACGGGGGTAGCGTTAGAATACAGGCCACGTTGTAGTCCTCGGAGGACTCCTTCTCTTTGGAAAAGTATCCGACGATATGAAAGCCGCGGACATCGATCTCAGTCATCACGTAGAAGAGGAAGGGGTCGGTGTCGTAGTAGAGGGTCTTGTGGTCGAGGAAACATTTGGCTAAAAGACAGAGATTTTGTGCGTAAAACTTATTCTTTCGGCCGTCGATCTCGAAGAATGAAATGGTGGCCTTCCGGTAGATCTCATTGCCGGGCGGGTGTCTCAGCGCACACTTAGCGCTGTGTCGGTGCAGACACTTCCGAGACTTGAGGTATTTGAGGCAAAACTCACACAAATAAATACACGGCAGAGACACCAGCTCTGAGGGATAGGGCGAGAAGTACCAGGGTCTGATCCTATGCCGACCCAACTCTAACATCTCCATGTTCTTAATACGAGTGATTATATCGTCGCTATGGTGTACAGTGAGACTACCACTGGTTCGCGGGGCCAGCACTGCACCGCTCGCACCGGCAGCCAAAGGAGGGACACACGAGTCCTGATCCTGCGAGTCCTGATCCTCGATGGCGGCCACGGGTGCAGCGCTTTGTCCTATTAGTCCAATTGATCCCATCTGTCCAATGGGTCCCATCTGTCCAATTGGTCCCATTTGTCCGAACTTGCGTTTGCGTCCAGCAATGGGTGTCTTTTTGGGTATATTGGGTGGACTGGCGATCACTTGAGACACCCCTGAACTCCCATTCTCTATGGCTTCCTCTTTGACCAGATTCTGACAGTTGGTCTCACTTTGGCTTTGGTTTTGGCTTTGAATAGAATAACTCTCTTGAGAGACATCGATGTCTGCGGTCTGCGAGTGACACAAACATTGCATTCATTATAACAACTCATTTGCAAGAAATGCATTACAATTACAATCTCTCGTTCAGGAGATGAAGGTCTGGAGCCGTTCTTAAGGGCATTCTTCATGTCCTTCCTCTCAGGTAACTGTAGTTTCTGTAAATCGAGTCTTTCTTTGGACACCCATTCGTCCAGACGTTTGTTGTAATCAATGTAATGGATGTAATACAGTGTGTCTCCGCTCGACGTCTCTCTTATGCTCAAGATTTCGGCCAAAGCTGTCATCAAATCAATGGTTAGACATAAAAGACATCAAATCAAGACAACAAGACATACGCCAGTCATCCGAGTATCTCATTTTGGTGGGCACTCGACATCCCTCTACGATCTGAATCTAAACACATGTCAGGCATTGAGTCAAATGTACGGTTGAGTGCAGTGCTGGATCAGCTGAGCGGAGACTTACCATTGTTTCGGCCACTGATTTGTTGTCTAATTGTTTCAAATCTTCATTTGACTTCATTCTTGTGACACAAATGGCGGCCAATAATGGCAAACATGTTTGAATGCAATCTCAAGCATCCCTTCACACATCCCGTTACACAGCACTCACACAACTGTTACCTCAACTCACTTCGGCTTTTAATTCATTCATTCAATGCATTCATTGCTATCATTTCAGTGCAAATTACTATGAAAATAGGTCGCATTTAATCTTATTTCTATATTTGGCTTCAAATTGATCCAGTTCAGTTCAGTTGAGCACAAATTGCTATTTAGTATGAGTGTAACATTGTTTATGAGTGACTCAACTCGTGGTGAAACATCACATGCAATGCAAATGTTTTGATGAGTGTTTGACTGATTGAATGAACGGCTGTTTGATTGCATTGACAGTGAGTTGTGTTTGTATTGAACACATGAGTGACTGTTGAACACAATTGCCGTGAATTGCAATCAAAGCACAAAACAATGGGTTTATTGAAGATAATCAGAAAAATCAAACAAAAGGAGAAAGAGATCCGAGTTTTGGTTTTGTATGCATTCAATGGATTTGTTTGAATGAATGGTTAAACTAATGAGTGATTCATATCTACAGAGGACTCGACAACTCCGGCAAAACAACTCTTCTGAAGAAACTGAACGGTGAGGACGTGTTGTCCATTTCACCCACTCTTGGCTTCACTATCTCTACCTTCGAGCACAACAAGTGAGACAATTGTGACCACTGGTGGCGTACAGTATATCATATGACCATTGATTGTGTGTTAGTCTTAAGCTGAATGTGTGGGACGTCGGCGGACAGAAGAGTTTGCGAGCCTTTTGGCGCAATTACTTCGAGAGCACTGATGGACTCATTTATGTTGTCGACAGTTCAGACACTTTCCGTATGAATGACTCCAAACAAGAGCTACAGAACCTCTTGAAAGAGGAACGCCTATTAGGGGCTACACTACTAGTGTTGGCCAACAAACAGGATCTGTCGGGTGCTGTCAGTTGTGAGACAATTAAAGATTTGTTGCAATTGGACTCAATTAAGACCCATCACTGGAAAATCGTGGGATGCAGTGCTTATACGGGACTCAATCTCTTGTCGTCCATCGATTGGCTCTTAGAAGACATCTCTTCACGTCAATTAAGGATTTGTTGCAATTGGACTCAATTAAGACCCATCACTGGAAAATCGTGGGATGCAGTGCTTATACGGGACTCAATCTCTTGTCGTCCATCGATTGGCTCTTAGAAGACATCTCTTCACGAATTTTTATCACTGATTAACTTATTTTGTATAAAATTGTTATTTATTTTTCATTAACTCTTTTGGTATACATATTTTCAACGATTTATTAATAACTAACACTAAGTCAAACTTTTTTTGTTAATAAAATAAATGTTAACGATTGCATCGACAGTTGGCCTTATATTGCAATATATCCGGTGACCGGTTATAACATTTCTGCTGCAGATCTCTTCATAACCACTCTCTCCTGCCCTCCGGAGCACAAAGTAGTTTCAAGTCTTGAGCCCATCCGAGAGCATCAGCTAATTGTTGACAGCCTTTGTCACAATCTTCGAGAAGCAAAACATCGCGATAGTTGTTCTCAGAGTCAAAGTCAAGACCAGATCCCATTCCCAATAGTCGAGCCAATTGTGAACTTTGTCCACATTTTGTTTTATTGATGAGCAGTCGTGGAGTCTTCGGACTCACAGTATCTATAAGTCCAGCGAATGGCTGCACAGTAAGTGATGTCCCGATAATGATCAAGAGATCGCATTTATCGAAGTCCTCTTCGGCTAACATAAAAAATCTTTGCGGCAGCCGTTCCCCGAAGAAGACAATGTCTGGTTTGACGGTTGCCTTACATTTCTCGCATTTGGGAACAAATGAATCGCCAAAAATTTTCTCTAAACACATGACATATTTACATATAACTAATACTGAGATAAATAGATTGAAACAAACCTCTCATCCACTCGAGAGTGTACTGCTTATTGCAGTCAATGCAATGGGATGTATGGAAGGTGCCGTGAGCCTCCACCAGCTTCTCATCCGGCACACCAGCGATCCTCTCAAGAGTGTCGATGTTTTGTGTGTAAAGCCTTAAAAGCAATCCCTTGTCATTCAGTAGTTTAAGGAACCGATGACTTGGAGTGGGATTAAAACTTCCCGGAAATAATTGTTTCGCCAAATCAAAGAAGGGATCGGGATTTTCCTGTTAACAGTCAATACAATTACAATGACAACCATGAGGACAGCCATGAAGTGCCATATATTACCCGAAAGAAGCCGATATCAAACATACATTCAGGTGACGGAAGTTTATATTTGGATAGATTGTCGTAAAGACCACTTCCCGGACTCCGGAAATCAGGAATTCCGGCCCCTTATGGACACAATTCACATACAATTGTATTTAATAAATAAACCTTAATTTGAATGAATGCCTCACCGGTTGAGATGCCGGCGCCCACCATAACCACAATGTTCTTGCATTTACCACTTTTGATGTATTTGACGACACCATCAACAGTGGTCTCATCCAACACTTTCTCGACGTTTACTTTTTCCTCGCTTTCATTGAATTTGAAATTTGTGGCAAATATTTTGGTCAACTTATCCACTAAAATAAATTCAATCCTATTTGTCATCCATTTGTTTGAATACATGTCAACACAATATACTCATTGAATTGTCTTCTCTGGAGTCACTGTCGGACTGACTGTCCTTCGAGTGACTGTCCTTTGAGTGACTGTCCTTCGAGTGACCGCACGAATCCGATGTCGACTCTTATGTCATATAAAATTGCATTTTATTTCATTCAAAACA